GCTCTAGGGAAATAACAGCACCATCCGGAGCTGGTCTCGTTGCCCTCTCTAATGCCCCGTGTGCCTACAGGGACCCTGACAGTGTGGTGCTGTGCGTGCTGGCCACTGATGAGGAGGATGAAGGTGACATCGCCCTGCAAATCCACTTCACCCTTATCCAGGCTTTCTGCTGTGATAATGACATCCATATTCTGCGTGTCCTGGGCATGCAGCGCCTGGCCACCATCCTGGGTGAGCCTGAGCCCGGCACCGAGCCCCGTGACCTCCACTGCCTCTTAGTCACGGTGAGTGGGACGGTGATGCACGGCATGACCACGCGCTGGTGGCCCTGTGATTCATGTGCCAAGGCCAGGGTGTGAGGGGACCTGGGGCCACGTGTCAGGGCACCAGTGGCACTAACGCTGTGTTTCTGCTCCTCAGAACCCACACACAGATGCCTGGAAGAGCCAAGGGTTGGCAGAGGTGGCCAATTACTGCACTGAGAGCCGTGACAAGAATCAGTGGGTGCCGTATGTGTGTCTGCAGGAGCGCTGAGCCAGCCCCAGCCGATGCCCGGCTCTGTACCTGAAAAAGGAGGGGGGAAAAAGTAAAACGGCAGGAAAAGGAAGGAGAAACCGCCAGTTAAAAACAAACAAACACAAAAATAACCCCAAACGCAAACAACCCACCGATTTTATTTTCTTTTTAACCGGAGAGGAGGAAGCAGCAGACTGGCCACACCGGTGGGCACGGGAAGGAGGCAAGCCAGAGCCGTGCTGTGCCGGCAGCCGGGTGGGACGCTGGCCGGAGCACGCCGGAGCCATCTATGCCAAGGAGTTGTGCTTGGCTGCAGGGACCTGGGGGACTGTGCTGAGGAGCCCCGGGACAGGCGTTGTGAGGAGATGGAGAGCGTGTGATGTTTTCTGTTTGGCAGCTGGGACTGGACAGAGGTGAGGACTGCAGGGGATGGAGTTTTGCAAACGGCTTTTTTCCAAGGGATAGATTATTGTGTGTAACGATGGACCTGTAATGCCAGTGTCAAGTTTTTTGCACTCTAAGCCACCTAAGAGACCCTGAGCTTAATCTATTCCAGAGTCTATTCTTATACTGATTTAAGAAAAGAACCCCAAGTTATTTGCAATAAAATACCTGAAGCCAGGGGCTGTCTGCTTTCCTTGGCCTTGCTGGAGCTGGGCCCATGGGGAGGGGGCGCTCTCTACACACACCCGGGGGGGGG